GTCATTAAGAGCCTACCTAGGCAATTTGTTGAGAGTCCGGTCAGTTAATGATCATAACCCCGACCTTCACATTAACCTAGCAGCCTCATGAGCTTCAGGTAATAGCCACTGTTCCATGAGTTTTCACTTCTGTTTTGTGGTGTGGTCTCTCTCTCCCCCTCTTCCCCCCATGTAAACCAGAGCCACAAGCTCCTGGCTTTCAACTTGGTCCAACAGTCTTTATCTATAGAGTTGCTGAGAGCTACAAGATTCCTTGTCCTGTGGAGTCTTTGTCTTTTCTACCAAGCTTGAATTGGTCCCACTGTCCTCTTTGTTAGCTCTGCATGTCTTTTTTCTCTTGGTCAGACATTCTGAGGCTTTGTGGTCCCATGTAGATTAGTTGAGGAAATGGAGTCAGCAGGTTTGGTTGAGAGAGGATGGCCACAATGAAATGGTCACTTGTTGGCGGGCAGTCAGCAATGTCCCCCAAGAAGAACTGGCTGTCGCTTCCACCCATGCCTGTTCCCCAGGTCACATGCCAACTCTTTCAGGCTTCTCCAAGTTGTGTGCTCTGGTACTACTGTTTTATCTTGTTCTTTGGTTTCTGGTTTTTGAGACAGTCTCGTGTAGCCCAGGCTGGTCTCAAAGTTGTTCTGTAGCTAAGGATAACTTTTTTTGTTTTGTTTTGTTTTGTTTTTTTCAAGACAGGGTTTCTCTGTGTAGTTTGGTGCTTGTCCTGCATCTTGCTTTGTAGACCAGGCTGGCCTCGAACTCACAGAGATCCGCCTGGCTCTGCCTCCCGAGTCTGGGATTAAAGGTGTGCGCCACCACCGCCACCTGGCCAGCTAAGGATAACTTTGAGCTCCTGATGCTACTGTCTCATCTGGTGCACTAGCTCCTTCTTGGACAAGTGTAGCTTCTACTCTATTGCTTACTGCATGGCTGCTCTATGTGCAGGGCTTTGTCTGTTGTCATTTAATTTCCCACTCTCGAAAGGCGTGTAAGGCTGTCTCATTGTCCAGGTGAGAGCCCATTCTAGGGAAGAGGCAGAGCTGGTTGTGTGTCACTTGGTCTGGAGGAAGTCTTGTTCAGTCCCTGAGCTGCTTGGAAACCCCAGATCTCCTTACTGAGTGCTTTTGGGAAGCCCATGCTGTATGAGTTGGCAAGCTAAGGAGCCTGGGGGCTTTGACCCAGGAGGTGTTGCTTAGACTGGGCATCTAGGTGTATTCTTTGACCAAAGAGGAGCTTCAGTGAGCTCCAAAAATGGAAACTTGGAGGCTTTGTTCAGGAGGTTGGAGGCAAAGCTGCAGAAAACGAGGTGTTGTCTGTCCTGTTCCCACGGCCAGGCAGTGTCCTGGGATGGCTGGTTCTTGTCTTTAGGGGTCCTGGAAGTGGCTCCAGCCACAGGCAGGCAGGTGAACTGCTAGTCGAGGCTGGGGAAATAACACAGTCTCTTCAGCCCAGCTGTGGAGTTTTCCCCCTGAGCACCTGTCTCGAGAGGGTTTGGCAGGGCTAGATTGAAACTATTAGTGCAGTGGGGCTTTTCCCACTTTTCTTGGGGGATTATGTCACAGTCTATTAAGCGTGTTCCCTCGGTATTTAATCCCACTCTGACAGGATTTTTCTGGCAGCCTGTTAAAGTGCCATTTCATGAACCTGCCAGCTGTTTTCTGTCCCTGGCCCTAGGGACATCCGCCCTCTCCCTGTGGCTTCCTTCCTGTGTAGTGAATAGTCTGCAGGAAGTAGTCAGACCTGATACTCACACAGGCCTCTTAGCTGGGAAGGCATCTGCAGCATGGTGACCGTGGCAGAGATCATATAGGCCTCTGGGGGCTGAGGGCAGAGCACAGCTGAGTGTCGAGACTCACTAGGCAGATATAGTGACCAATCCAGTGTTGCCTTCCCAATGCCTCTCCTCAGTCACAAGCAGTTTTCTATTTATTTATTTATTTATTTATTATTTTTTATTATTTTGTCATTTTTGAGACAAGATGTTGCTCTGTAGCCCAGGTTGGCCCTGAACTAGAGATCCTCCTGCCTCAGCCTCCTGAATGGGATTCTGCACGCACAGATTGCCATGCCTAGCTAGATTTTCAAAAAATTTCTGTTTTTAAGGGTCTCTCCATTCAAGGGAAACAAAGTTTTAAGCATGTGTTGGCCCATTTTGTAGAAGCTTGTACATGTAGCTCTTGCTGAGCCCAGATTTGCCTGGACCGGTTAGCAACACTATTGGGGAGAATGTTGGGCTGACGTCTTTGTAGGGTGGAGAAGCTTCTGGAAGGAGAGCTGTATGATTCTTGATGACGGTTAAGGTTCATGATAATCTTGTCACACGTTCCCAGGGTGTTAGAAATGGGACACCTTCATCAGAGCCAGCTGTAGCATGGGGACAGAGTGGAAAGCCTCACCTGATCCTGGGCAAGTTCTCTACCTGCATAGCCCTGTGCCCAGTGACCTATCCAAGACTGCCAGATGGGCTGAATTTCACGTGGTTCCTGCCATTTTCTTACATGGAAATTGCGGGAAAGGAGGTAGTCGGGTACCCCTGCCCAAGACCATTAGCTTTCCTTCACAGGGAATCCCAGCCTGCCTGGCTCCAGCTGCTGCTAACCTCTGCCGGTTCTTCCTCTTTCTCTGAGGCGTGGCCCTGGCCCACCCACAGTATTCCCATCAGAGATACTCGGTGGCTTTGCTTTCATCACCGCTGGCCAGTGGCCATGTCACTGACTAACAGCCTTTTCCTCGAGACAGAACCAGTTTTCCTAGTCAGGTTTCCCCACTGCTGCGGGTTCTGAGCCGAACCTGCAGAGTGCCTCACTTGACAGGAACGCTTCTCTGTGCCCTGCCCCATCCAGAGGTGGCTGTGCCTTCTCTGCAGGTGGGGTCCCACAGCTGAGCTGCTTTGGTGGGAAGCTTCCCCACCGTGGTGGTTGCCTTTGACAGAGCGTTAGGAGCTTACGCCTGCCGTCTGAGTGTTGTCCTTGACCTCCGCTTTGTGTGTCTCTGGGGCCAGGCCTCTTGGATGTTGAGCCACGCCTGGCCCTTTTGAACTGGGCTCTAAATTAATTAGAGAAGCGCCTCTTGAAGCTGGGAACGGGCTGTGGAGGGCTGGGGAAAGAGGCTCTTGTTTCCCTTGGAGCCCTTACGACCCTCAGGGCTCCCAAGTGGTTGTTTCCTCCTTCTACAAAGCCGCTTTGGAGGGCTGTTCCCTGTTCCCTCTTCTTTGGTTAGCTTTTTCCCGGCTTATTGAATTTTCTAAAAATTATTTTTTGGTGTGGTGTGGGATAGACTCTAAGCAAGTAGCCCAGGCTAACCTTCAGCCTGCACTCTTCCAGGTTCAGCTTCAATTCTCTTACTACTATTACCATATAATCTCTTTTTGACCCTTATTAGTTGCCGTGTAAGGGACTTGTGTGCTCATTCAAAGACCTTTCTGCTGTCATTTATGCGGAACATTTATGAGGGAGCTATAAACTAATTTGTGCTTGTTTTGTTTGTTGTTTACCTTTTTTTGTGATTGTTTCTCTGTGTAGCGTTGGCTGTTCTGGAACTCATTCTGGACACAAGGCTGGCCTTGAGCTCACAGAGATCCACCTGCCTCTGTCTCCCCAGTGCTGGGATTAAAGGCATGCGCCACCACTGCTCATTTGTTTGCCTTTTGAGAGAAGTTGTCTGTAGCTCTGGCTGTCCTAGAACTCACCATGCAGACCAGGCTGCCCTGAATCTCACAGAGATCCTCCTATCTCTGCCTCCTGAGTGCTGAGATTAAAGGCGTGCGCCACCAGGCAGGGCTGAGAGCTTTTAAAATCTTTTTTTTTTCTCCCCCAGGCAGGGTCTCACTGTATACTTTTGCTGGCCTGGTACTGTAACCTGGCCTCAAACTCAAAGAGATCAGCCTGCCTCTGTCTGCCATGACACCCAGCTAAATTGAAAAGATTTTTCCAGTCTCCCAACTCCTGTACTTAGCAACATCTGTGTCTGTGGGTCTGACTTGAACATTGGACTCCTTTCCCACCTGCTGCTTTTCTTGACCCTCCCTGACCCCGCCCATAGATACCTGCCCCCTCCCCACAACTGTCCATAACTGTTTAGACGAGTTGGGTGACTCATAGCTTGTTAGGAGAGTGCTTTTACTTTTCAAAGCTGAGCACTGAGTGACATGGGGGAGTTGAGAATGTCAGGAAAAGTGCCTGAGAGGGGTGGGAAAGGGTACCTAGAGTCAAGGTGAGGGAGTCAGCTGGGAGAGAGAACAGGATTAGCTAAGGGAGCGCTCAGCAGCAGTGGGACCTGACTCTACCCTCTGCTCCCTAATGGAACAAGTTCAGTTTGCTGTGTATCTCCACATACCAGAGTGTGTGAGTTGGGGTTCCCTGCAAACGAACTTCGATGGTCTAGTAGGTCTCAGTAATGCTGTATAGAAGAGCTTTGTGGGAGCTGGGCAGCAAGGCCACTCAGCCTGTAGCTATCAGTACCCAGGGACACATTCCTCAGCTCAGTGGCCACAGGACCCCACTGCTTTTCTGCTGAGAGCACTTAGGCTCTGGAATGGTGGGGAATCCTGAAGTAGGCTTGTCCCTGTGTGAGCACAGTACCTTTCTTTTTGTTTTTTCGTTTGTTCTTTGTTGTTTTTGTTTTTGAGACAGGGTCTCACTATGTAGCCTTGGCTAGCCTGGAACTCTTTTGAAGACCTGGCTGGCCTCAAACTCAGAGGTCCTCCTGCCTCTGCCTCCCCAGTGCTTGGATTAAAGGCGTGCTGTATCACACCTGGCTTAGGCTGGCTTTTTATTAATTTTTTGAGTGCTAGGACTGGGACTCAGGGCGTCTTGTGTGTTAGGCAAGCGTCCTCCCGCTGAGCTGTGCTCCCTGCCTGCTGGTGATAACCTTTACCTCTTGTGACCCAGGATGAGGGTTGGCCCTGTACCTCCCGGGGCTTGTCCCAGCCACTAGAGCTGTACCCACCTTCAGAGCCGTCACAGGCCCTGCAGGCCCCGAGTTCACAGTGGTTTGGGGTTGGTTCGCAGGGAAGATGGTGAGTTGGAAGAGGGCGAACTGGAAGATGATGGGGCTGAGGAGACCCAGGATGCCCCTGGTGGACAAGAGCGGAGTCGGAAAGAAAAGGGGGAGAAGCACCACAGCGATTCGGATGAGGAGAAGTCTCACCGGAGACTGAAGCGGAAGCGGAAGAAGGAGCGGGAGAAGGAGAAGCGGAGGTCAAAGAAGAGGCGGAAATCCAAGCACAAAGTAGGTCCCTGAGGGTTCCCCACACACCGGTCCACTGCTGGCCCAGAGCCCACCTGCACGCCCAGAGGCACTCTAAGGAACAGCCTTTCCTAGCACCTGGGGCCTGAGGACAGTTGATCAAGTCTGGAGCTTATGCTCTGTTGCTGTCGAGTGCCCCCAGGTGAGGAGTTTTCAGGCAGAGCGCAGAGCCTTCCAGGCACACTCCAGCATTGTTTGTCCTGGGGCTGGCTGTGCCGGGGTGACCGCCAGCAGCAGCAGCCACTCACGGCGCCTCCTCTCATTGCAGCGCCATGCTTCTTCCAGTGATGATTTCTCGGACTTCTCAGATGACTCCGATTTCAGCCCCAGTGAGAAGAGTCACCGCAAGTACCGCGACTATAGCCCGCCATACGCACCGGTGAGTGACACTGTCACATGCACTCTGGAATGGGACAGGTGGATGGTAGCCCAGGGACAGTAGGTATTGTTTTCATCCCTGTTTGATGGTTGAGGACACAGAGTTGGAATGTATGGGTTTGAGTCAGGGAAACGGCTTTCTCCACAAGGCCTGCTCCTGAGTCTCCCCCATGGCTTGGCAGCACTCAGTACGTCTAACTCATCCGGGTCATGGATGACTGCTTTCCGATGTTCATAAGTGACCTTTTGTGGGAAATTGGCAAGAGAATGAAGTGGCCAGTAGAGTAAATTATCTCCAGGGCTGCGCAGTTAGAAGTTAAATACCCCATTACAACTCCGAATTCAACCATAAATTTACATCTTTTGTCCGGTGTGTGTATACTTTCTCTTTCAAAAAACCGTGTAAGGAAAAACAAGGGCTGGGGATGTAGCTCAGTGGTGTAGTGATCGCCTTAGTGCTCATAGCCGTGGACCACTGCCGCCACTACTACCACTAAGTAATGGAAAATAAAAACAAACCGGCAATGGGGACACGGACTAGTAACCCAGGACGGGGAGGGCCGAGGCAGGAAGATCAAGAGTTGGAGCCCAGAAGCTGGAGAAGTGGCTCATGGTTAAGTGCATGCATTGTCTTTGCGGACGATGCAGCCACTGTGTGGTAGCTACGACGGTGTGTGCCTCCAGTTCTGGGAGATGTGGCCTCTGGGTACTGCATGCACGTGGTGCACGTGGTACATGTGTCAAAACACTCACACATATAAAAATAAATAAGTAGAGTTTGTCTTAGGGTTTCTGTTGGCTGTGAAGAGACCCCATGACCATGGCAACTCTTAGAAAAGAAAATATTTAATGGGGTGGCTTACCATTTCAGAGGCTTAGTCCATTATCATCATAGGGGCCATGCTGGAGATGAGAGTCATCAGCAGGCAAAAGGAAGTGCATTGAGACACTGAGTGTAGCTTGACCATATATGAGACCTCAAAGCTGGCCTCCACAGTGACACACTTCCTCCAATAAGGCCATACCTACTCTAATAAAGCCGCTCCTCCTAATTGCCACTCCCTGTGAGCTCATAGGGGCCAATTACATTCAAACCACCATAAAGTTGGAGCCCTGCCTGACCTATACAGCAAAACCCTGTCTTTTAAAACCATGGGCTAGGTGGGGCAGTGGTGGTGCATGTCTTTAATCCCAGCATTCGGGAGGCAGAGGCAGGTGGATCTCTGAGTTCAGGCCAGCCTGGGCTACAAAGGGAGTTCCAGGACAGCCAGGGCTACACAGAGAAACCCTGTCTTAAAAAACAAAGAAATAAAAGTAAATAAATAAAACCATATGCTAGGAAGAGTGTGATGGCACCTTTTTAAATTAAAAAACATTATTTTATGTGTCTGTTTTCCTGTATGTCTGTCTGTGCACCATATGTATGTCTGGTGCCAGCAGAAGCCAGATGAGTGTGTCATAGCCTCTGGAACTGGAGCTACTTACAGTTGTGAGTCTCTATAGGTCAAAGAGCCATACTCCAGTTCCTGGAATAGCAACCAGTGTTCTTAACTGCTGAGCTGTCTCTGCAGCCCCGTGATGGCACTTTTTAAAGCCTTTCCTGTGGCAGCATCCTGCACCACTGCAGATGATGGAGGGTGTGGTCCAGACTGATTTGTGCAGAAGGGCGTCTTCTCCATGCTAGGGGATGGTTTGGTTATGACCCTGAGCTTGAGTGCCTGTGTGTCCGTGTGTCTGCGTCTTCCATTTTCCTTTTTCAGTTGAGCCTGGCCGTCACTGAAGTGTTGCACACGTATGCCACAGTGTTCCACCCGTGAGTGGGTGTTGTCACATTAGTGTCCGCTGGTCTTCCTTGCTTGGCTTAGTTTCCCCAGCTGGTTGCAGTGGGCTTGCTGTTCCAGTGCCCCACGCTCCCCAGCCCTGTCACCAGAGCCACCAAACCCTCCATTCCATAGCACCTGGGTCCACCTAGCTTTTCCTTAATAGATACTGAGAGGTTCTTTATTGTGTTTTCAGTTTTGAGACCAAAGCTTTACTTTGTTGCCTAGGGCAATCTGGTTTGTTTGTTTGTTTGTTTTGTGAGACAGAGTTTTTCTGTGTAACAGCCCTGACTGTCCTAGAGCTCACTTTGTAGACCAGGCTTGCCTTGAACTCACGGAAATCCACCTGCCTCTGCTTTCTGAGTGGTGGCACCACTGTCCCGCATCCTAGGGCAGTCTTGAACTCCTAGGCTCAAGCAGTTTTTCTGACTCAAGCCTCCTATGTGGATGGAACTGCAGACATGGGCCATCACACCCTGTCTTAGTAGTGTGGATTTAATTAAAGCCAGGTATGATTGTACAGGCCTATAATCCCAACACTTGGGATATGGAGACAGATCAAGAGTTCCAGGCCAGGATGGAACTCCCAGGTACTGGGGAGGCAGAGGCACGCAAATTTCTGAGGGAAGGTCAGGGCAGCCTGGTCTACATAGTGAGTTCCAAGACAGTCAGGGCTACACATAGAAACCTTGTCTTTTTTGTCTGTCTGTCTGTCTGTCTGTCTGTTTGAGACAGGCTTTCTCTGTGTATCTTTGGCTATCCTAGAACTTGCTCTGTAGAGAAACCCTATCTTGAAATCCTCTCCCCTCTTCCCCCTCCAAAAAGATAGTGTTTCTGGCCAGGCTGGGCTACATAAGACCCAGTCTCAGAATAGTAAAGTGTTTTCATTGCTTATAGCTTGCATTGCTAAGGTGGGCCTCATTGTCTAAATGCTACACTTTGTCTGTTCACCTGTTGAAAGGCATCGTGGGAAGTGTCTTTGGAAATAGCAGTCTGCTATGGCCGTGGTAGGCCATTCATTGAAATCCAAGGCCCTAGGGAAAGCTTGGACAAGCTTGGACCCCTCCTCCTTCCTCCAGGCTCCTGCCCAGGCATGCCTGCTCTGCATCTTTGTCCCTGGTTCTCTAGGGTGGGCTCATGTGTCTCCTTTCCTTCCACATCTTGGCCCTTTTCTTAAAGACAACGGTGAGCCGCCCATTGCTGTCCCCCAGCCTGTCAGGGTATACAGGTCTCCAGAGAGGCCAAGAACCAGAGGTCAACCCGGGATGATAGAGATACCCAGATTCACAGGTTCTGAGGACTGAGGGGACCTCAGTGGCTCACCTTGTCCCCTCCTGTCTCCTGACCCAGTCCCACCAGCAGTACTCCTCATCACACAACACGCCCCTGCCCAAGAAGTCCTACTCCAAGATGGATAGCAAGAGCTACAGCATGTACGAGGACTACGAGAATGAGCAGTATGGGGAGTATGAGGGAGATGAAGAGGAGGACATGGGCAAGGAAGACTATGACGACTTCACCAAAGAGCTGAACCAGTACCGGCGTGCCAAGGAGGGCAGCCGGGGCCGAGGTGAGCCCTGCCCTTCCTGCCCCCCCCCCCCCCCCGTACTTCTCCATGGCCAGTGTTGCTGTTGGGAGTGGAAATCTGCAGTCAGGGAGATGCCAGCAGCCACCCTGTACTGAGCCTCACCCTGTAGAGAGCCAGGCAGAGATGGCCAAAGTGCACAGAAGCTGGACACTCAGGGGTAAGGACTAGGGTCAACCTTGGAACAACAGGCACAGAGCAGGGGCAGCTGGTGTCTCTCATCTGGGCCAGAGTGAGGATGGCTGGTGGCCCCAGCTCTGCCCACTTCAGTCCTGGACTGTCTATCACCTGACTGACCATTTTGTTCATCTCTGAACTTTGTACTTCAGGAAGCTGGTGAACTTGTGGCTGGAGGCCTAGGGGAAGATGGGGGCAGGGGAGGGGTTAACAACTCAGGCGATCTTCTAAAGCCAGAACAGACAACAGCTGGAGGAGGCTTCTAAAGTCTGCCAGCTCAGGTTCTTAGACTTATGATCCAGGTTATTGTTGAAAGTGGCTGTCCATGTTTGCTCTGGGAGCAGGCTCTGCTTTGTGGAGACCACAGACTGGCATCCCCCAGGGCATGCAGTGGGCCACCCACATCAGTACAGTGAGAGGAGCCAGGTCACACTTGTTTATTACTGGCTTATCAGTCTTACCAGAATCTACAGTAGACACCAAGACACTGCCTCTCTGCTCTCCCTAAGTCTTTAAAATCTGCTGGTATGAATCTCCCAGTTGGAACTAGCAACTTGTCCTGGCTTTTTAGCCACATAGGGCTGGTGGCTGCTGTCTTGGACAGTGCAACCATGAGTAGAAAGGTATCAGGAGGCCAGCTCGTGAGTGCAGGAGTTGCTGTGTGTCCAAGGTGCCGAGTGAGCCCCAAGTGAGGCTCACTATCTCAATCACTCCGCAGGTAGCCGAGGCCGGGGCAGGGGCTACAGGGGCCGTGGAAGCCGAGGAGGATCTCGAGGCCGAGGAATGGGCAGGGGCAGCCGAGGCCGGGGCAGAGGCTCTGTGGGAGAGCACCCAGAGGATGAAGAAGACTTGTACGAGGAGGAGATGGAAGTAAGGTTTTCTGTAGCTCTTGGGATGTAATGTGACTACCAGGCTCCCTGGGC